TAGCAGTGTGGGTGGATTCCCTGGGTTCCAGTGGGGACCAGGCTGGCCAGTTACAGGTCAAGGACAGGAGCTGCAACTCCAGCTACGGGCTGCTCTACTACAGTGTGGATTCCTCTATGTGCTGCAATGCATAAATTGAGGATTGTCCTTCACCACCTCTTCGTATTAGCAGATATCTGAAGTTTTACTGGGACTCCTGATAGACCGGAGCCTGTTTGGCTCTAGCAGCCTTGAATGCCATGCAAAGACACCTCGAGTGCCGTGCATGGCACTAGTGCCGTAGGTTGCCTACCCCTGCCCTATGGCAATGTTTTTTTCACTAAACTTTATTGTTAAACCTGTGCTGCTGGAGTTTTAGTAAAGAAAGATAATGCAAAATACTCGTCTCCTGTCCTTAATAAAATTAAGATTATAGGTACACTGCGCTAGCATAATCTACAATTTTCTTTTAACCTTTTTCAGTTAATAAAAGCAAAAATACAAGGATATATTAATTACTTATAATAGCTCTGCCATTGGACTGTATTCCGTATACTTTAGAATAAAGCACACATTGAGAATATTCACTTTGCTTTGTTTATCCAATAAAATGTTTTGTGAAATTAGATTGCGGAAAGGTACTCCACAGTAATATAAGTGTTTGTAACTTGAAGGGTTGTGAGATTCAAAAAATAGTTTCAACCTAGAAGATTATTTACTAAACTGGATTTGCGTAAATGTGACAAGATTTGGCAAAGGAAAAAGCCGGCCGGGGAGACCTAATGCGCAGCAATGGCCACGCTCGCATTAGAATTTACCCATAAGAAAGCATTATTTAATACTTTTCTATGGAGAAAATCTGACGCTGGCGGTCCTCATGCAGAGCGTGAGGACGTCCAGCGTCAGATAACAGACCAAAGGTCCATTTGGATTCCGGGAGCGGCCCCAGTGGCTGTCTGGAAGCGATGATATCATACAATCGAAGATATCACTAGAATACTTTAAGTTCTAAATTCCCTATTAAGGTCCCAGTATTCACTTTTTTTTCTTCCCTTTCTTTCTTAGAATTGAGCTCCCATATGTGTCTAAATATAATACCATAACATAATATGTGTTGATCATATAAGACATTAGACTCTCTATTAAGGCTGTTCATTAATAATGTTTACTTGCCTATTGGGACTTTTTGTACATATTGATATTTATCTTAGACAGTTCCACTTGAACTGTTCTGGGGCTATTCATTGATTAGTCTAGCCTTTTTGTCTATTTACCTACTTAAACTACATTGATCCAGTAGGGTCTCTTTAATATAGGTTTATTCTGATGTGCTTACAATCATAAGTATAACTTTTTTTTTTTTTTTTAACCCACGCAAGGGCCCGCAGCAATTAGGGGTTACATTTACAAGATGGCTAATATTTATTTCAAATACATTTTACTGGCTTAGTCCTTTTTGTGACATATTGCCTTAATTCTTTCTTTCAAGTAAATTGTTATGTCTAAAAAGACAAAGTTTCAACCAATAACCCTGGCAATTGTCTCCTCTCTGACCTGCTCAGGAACATGACAGAATGTAAAGGCCTTAAACTGGAGACTACAGGGTTAACCAGTGTTCTAACAATCATTGCTGAAAGCCTCTTAGAACTCTGCAAATCTATTTCTTGTTGCAATCAAGCTCCTGCGTATTACCTGAGAATTAGACAAAGTTAAACTCACCTTCCAGGAAAAGCAAGAAAGAGAACCACTAACTAAACTTGAACTAGAAAAAAGACATCAAGCTGAGATATGCTATTATTGTGGTGATACAGGACACCGCATTTCCTTCTGTCCAAGAAGACCTCCTGTAACCGATGACCTGAACATACAGACCTCTCAACCTGACTCTCCTTTTTACAAAGACCATAAGGACTGAGTATTTTACCCTCAGAAAACTCCATTGTCTACCTATTACTCCTCAGGTGACTCCCTATCATCTTACCTAGTAGAAGCAAATTATCTACATGATAAACTACCCTCTGACAAGGAAGAGACTGGAGAAGAACTATTCATGGAAGAACCTATGGTGGCTACTATGACTATGACTCCCATCATCCAATCCGCAAAGAAGAATACGGCAAAACCTCCATTTGGTGCCCCTGGTCTTGAAAAAGCCAGTGATGGTACGATCTTGCCAAAAAGAGAAATCCGGGATTTTGAAAACCTTCTTAAAATGATGGGGTATGTGAATGGGGGAAAACCCCCTTAGAACAACTCTAATCCAGTCTCAACCTGCTCTTCCTCCCAACCTGTAACATTAGGTACACTAATACCTACCTTAGAGAAACCTACGATACCCCAGATTCTCAATTCTGGGCTGATGAAGAAAGTTAATGAACCCATCTCTACACTCCGAATTAAAGAGAAAATGCAATCACTGAAGAAATTCCTCCTGTCTGCACCAAAGCCTCAAATGGTACTATTGTACTTCTAAAAGACTTAACCATGTTTGAGGCACTACTGGAAAACAAGGAAAATAGAAAATCCAAGAGAGAGAAATGATACACTTGGCTTTGATTTCTGTTTATTGTGGTCTGTACATAACTTAAAGCGTCACTGTCATGCTGAACTTACCTTTCCTCAATCTCTTCCTCTTCTCCCCCTCTCTCAGGATCTGTTCTTCTTTAGTTTTCTTTAAAATCATAAGACAAAGTAGGGACTCTTTGCCTTATGGAGGTTTCCTCCGCTTGACCTGCTCTGACCTATTGGCCCCCACGCGGTGGGGGTCATAATGATAATGAGGGCGGGGACCAACTGTCCTCCCACCCAGGCTCCCAGCCCTGGGTGGCGGGTGGGGGCCATAATGATAATGAGGGGGGGGGGACCTACTGTCCTCCCCCATCCAGTCCACCACCCATGGGCGGTGGGTGGGGGCCATAATGATAATGAGGGGGGGAACCTACTGTCCTCCACCCCTGGGCGGCGGGTGGGGGCCATAATGATGATAAGGAGGGGGGCTACTGTCCTCCTCCCCTGCCCCCACCCCTGGGCAGCGGGTAGGGACCAAATGATAATGGGGGGGACCTACTGTCCTCCCCCCCCTGGCCCCCAGCCCTGGGCGGCGGGTGAGGGCCATAAAGATAATGAGGGGGGGCCTACTGTCCTCCCCCCCCCCGGCTCCCACCTCTGGGCGGCGGGTGGGGGCCCTAAGTCAAATCCCCCCCCCATCAAAGGTGACTAGGGGTCCCCAAGCCCCCTAGTCACCCACCCCCCCGCCCAAATAAAAAGTCCCCTACCTACCCCCCTCACCCTAAAAAAATAGTGAGGGGGGAATAAAATTACTAACCTGTAAAGTAAAATTAAACTTACCATTCGACATCTTCTTTTTTCTAAAATCTTCATTTTTCAGCACCAAAAAAGGCCAAATAAAAAAACCATCATACCCGTCGACCTTAAAATAAAATAAAAAAAAACCCGAGTGCAAAAAAAATTCACCCATGGAGGGCTACGCGCAGACTGAGCTCCTCTTATAAAGCCTTGCCCCGCCCTGCAGTTAGGCTAAGAACACTCTGATTGGTGGGTTTAAGCCAATCAGAGTGCTCTTTGTCATTTTACACAGTGTGGGAAAATTCAAAAGAACTTTTCCACGCTGTGTAATATGACACAGAGCACTGTGATTGGATGGCTTGAAATCCATCCAATCACAGTGCTCTGTGTCATTTTACACAGCGTGGGAAAATTCCAAAGAACTTTCCCATGCTGTGTAAAATGACACAGAGCACTGTGATTGGATGGATTTCAAGTATCCTTTTTGTGTCCTCCCCCCAGCCCCCACCCCTGGGCGGCAGGTGGGGGCCAAATGATAATGAGGGGGGGACCTACTGTCCTCTGGCCCCCACCCCTGGGCGGCGGGTGGGGCCATTAAGATAATTCCTACACCGTTCACCTGATTTGGATGTAAATACCCTCAAATTAAAGCTGAAAGTCTGCAGTTAAAGCACATCTTGTTCATTTCATTTCAAATCCATTGTGGTGGTGTATAGAGCCAAAAAGATTAGAATTGTGTCGATGTCCCAATATTTATGGACCTGACTGTACATTATACTGGAATCTACTTACCTGTCTCAACTACTGCAACTCTGCATAATCCTGTAAGCAATATATACTATATTATACTGAAAGTACTTACCAGCTTTAACCATTTCAACCCTGTATCATCCTGAACCTGGCTGCAGTGTGACATTCCACAGATTACTAATCTATTTGGGAATAACATCAAACCTACTTGTATATAAAAGACTTTATTTATTTACTTTCAAAGTATCCTGTTTGTGGCATATTGCCTTTTATTCTGTTTTAACTCTCAAAGTATCCTTTTTGTGGCTTTCTTTCAAGTAAATTGTTATGTCTGAAAAGACAAAGTTTCAACCAATAACCCTGGCAATCGTCTCATCTCTGAACTGCTCAGGAACATGACAACATCTTTTAATAACAAAATACGGTGAACCAAAAATTTCAGTTTACCAAGCATGCAAAAAAGTGCAATTCTTTCTACAGCCTTTTCATATATAATGATGAGCGAGATGGGAATATTTTCTTAAAGTGTTTAAGATACCAAGAGAAACTTTTAAATGTATTATTTTGTATCACTATGCAGATTGTAATCTTTCTAGAAGCAGAAGGCATATTCTCCTACTAGTCCTCCAAATCTTTCTAATTTCTTTCTTTTTTTTTTTTACTCTGAATTATCAGGATTGTTATCTTTGGCCATGGAAAAACACCCTCCTTGTAACCGCGGCTGGTTCCCTTATTTACCACTATAATGTCTTAAAGCATAGAACTTAGCAGGGCTAACCATACAGATATCTTAGCCATCATTTTACATAGTGTAAGAGATCCTCTATTTAACAGATATAAATAATTGAGAATACAATATAAAAAAAGGATTGTCTTGGAAGCAATAAAGTTTTGTCTTTTTGATATTTATTATATATAGACATATAAAATCCATTATAGCAGAGTTTATAAGATTAAACTAAATGCTTGCAAATATCATTAATAGGTTAACATACCCTTCTGAACATGTCATCATGTCAGCCTCTCTGTCATTTTAAGATGGAGCAGCGTCTGTCTCCAAGTCTCTCCTCTGTGTCTTAACATTTTAAAAAGTACACCTATTTATACCTTAGGTGTCTCCATTTTAGGGTTACCGTAGTTCATATATGAAAAAGTAACACTTATTTTACTTTATTCATTTTAGGACCTCCCTTAATTTGGCAAACATACAAGGCCATAACTAAAGGGTGTATACGTCATGGAAATTTTCCTGACTTAGTTCAAGATGGCATCTTACAGTCTGGACATCCTTATCTACTTAAGGTTACCACAGTATATTACGTACTGAAAGAGTCGTAGCATAGCCTTGAAGCTTGTTTATGCATTATTGTCATTGTAATTCGTCTGGGACAAAATGGCGCAAACATAATATGCACTGAGGTTATTACGACCACAGCTGTAGACTCAAAGCATATTGGGGCTCTGGTGGCTTTCTAACACCTTGTCAGTTTGCAATCTCTTAAAGACAAATTACACAGTTTAAGAAATACAACATTTCATTCTAAAACTTGTAATATTTGCATTTGCCCATAACATCCTGGCTTAAAAAGGGGTTGCTCTAATATGTCATTAAGTGTCTCTAATGATGTGTTCTTTTAAAATAAGAAAGTGGGTGAAAACATTTTTTTGAAGGAGATATGTATTCCCTGTGACCACAGCTGTAGAGTCAAAGCATATTGGGGTTGTGGTGGCTTTCTCAGGGGCTTCTGGGATCAGAATCACAGACAACGGCAGAATCTGCATTAACCTGTCCATTGGACACTCAACTTGACCAGTAATCTCAAATGTTAGCCATGCATTAATATGGTGCTAGAATAATAAAGATTGAGTTTTTAAAAGGTGTGGAAGTATGTGGCTGAAAAGTGCAAGACAATGGATCTTGGGCATAAAAAAATAACCCAAGAGCAAAGTATAGAATTGTTGATACAGTTTTAACTTCAGCATTTGAGGAAAAGGATTCTGGAGTAATTATTTCTGATGACTTGGAGGTAGGCAGACAATGGAATAGAGCAGCAGGAAATGCGATCTGAATGATTAGTTGCATAGGGTTGCATAGGTATTGGCAGTAGAAAGAGTAATTGTTGAGTAATTAATTGTGCCATTGTACAGAGCATTGCTGAGATCTCACTTGAGAAGGATATTGATACTTTAGAATTCAGAGAAGGGCTACTAAACTGGTTCATGGATTGCGGGATAAAACTTACCAGGAAAGGTTAAAAGATCTTAGCATGTATAGCTTGGAGGAAAGACGAGACAGGGGGGATATGATGGAAATATATATTGTCTTGCACTTATTGACATTAAACGCAAAAATACCAGAGTATTGCAGTATGCAATGATACATTTTTTTTTTTTTTTTATTGGACTAACATAATATTTCAAAGTTATGTTAGTCCAACAAAACAGTATAATTGAATACTGCAATACTCTGGTATTTTGGTATCTTGTCTACTGGACTAATATGGCTAATCCAATCTATTGTGTGTTGCCATTCATTCATACACACATTCATACTACCACACATCCTGCTACCACCATTCATCACATAATTTCTACTTGTAAAATTGCTTGCCTTTTATTTCTGTAATATATTTGGTATATATAGTTAATCATTAGGTATCCACTTTGTGCATTTACTACATCTTTTGTTTGTCTTGAGGAATAAAAACATGAGTCATATTGCAATGATTGTTGAATATGCAATATGTTTTGTAATATATTGGTGTATTATGTGTTTATGTGCATTGTCTGTCTGAGTGTGAAATGTAAAGTAAATACAATTTGCATGTCATTAACGCAAAGCTTTAGTGTTTTCAAAACAGATCAAACTCTGTACAGTACAGCCGGGCAAGAATGAACCAATCCTTGCATGCAATCGGTCCTGGAGATTATTATAGTATGGGACTATGCAGGAATAGCACTTGTTACATCCTATATGAGATAGGCCAATCAAAGAGTTGCTAATCAAATTTTGATTTGAATTTTCCATCGCAAAGTGCCTTGTCCGACCCTTGTGACAGATTTTCATTAGGGGAGTATTGTTTTTGTACAAGACTGCTGACTATCTATAATCATCAGTACTGCGTTGCTAATGTCGAAAATATGATGATTTTATTAATTGTGCCAAAGTTTTTATGTTTGATTTTATCTATCAAGTATACCTCTATAATTTACATTACAGCTTTATCTTCTTGGGAGAAGGATAATTAATAATTTGGTAATTAATCCTTAGCCAGTAGACATGAGTGTTACTGTCTGTAAACTGTGTGTGTGTGTGTGTGTGTGTATATATATTTAATTAGTTGCTCGATCTAATAATACTTTGTTCATTCCTATACACATTAATAAAGTTTTCACTATGCGTTTACCGTTTCTATGTTGCCAGGGTGACCGGACTAGTGAGTGTATCCGGCTCCCATGGCAACGGACGGTATGTGATCACGTGGTGGGGTACGTACGCACATGCGCACTCGGTGTCGGTGTCTGGGGACGCGGGCGATAGTTGATGATAGGTGTACAGCTGGGGTAAGTTTATTCTCTAATGATTCTTTCCAATTATTTGCCCGGTATTTAAATGATTTATTGATATGTATGTGGTTAGTATTCCTGATGAAAGTCCCGGAGGAGGACTGAAACGTCGAGCTGCTACATTTTTAAAGATGTTCAAATAAATTTTTGGATTTTAACTGCTATTTAAAACCGTGAGTGCTGGCCATTTTCTGCTTGTTTATATCTCCATTTGCCCTGGATTACAAGCACCCGGATATTATTATTATTTAGTCTGTGTGCAAGGATTACGTGTTTTCTTTGGATAATAGGAACATGGGGTATTGTTCCACCTATGCACCGACACCTTTGTACCTATATAGTACATTTTTGACTATTTGATTTTTTCATACTTATATTGACTTTTGCATTTATTGGAGACTATTCATTGGAAAATAGACTTTTTTGCCTCCTAGTACAATTTTGTATTTTTATTGCAACACTATGGATGATGATTTTTTGTTACAAGCAGGGGCTTATGATGAACAGGCAGACACTCTACAATTTTCACATGAGGAAGCCCAGGCTATTTTATGGGAACAAACAGGATTGGAATTACCGAATAATTTATCAACTAAAGATATCTACTTTCTGTTACTACGCTTGAATAAGAAATGTATTGATTTGGACCTTCACGGTCTTTTTTTGTCTGACTATTATAAAGCAAAACGAATCCCCAGGGGTTTTAGAATTTTGAATGTCCCCACGATTGGCCGAGGTAAAGCTAAAGTATGCAGAGACTGGACCTCTGTCCTGAATAAAGCTTCCCTAGACCTGATGCTCATCATAATCCAAGATGTCAGAATAGACATGGAGGATATTAAGAAAAAAATCACTGAAGTAGAGATGGAACATGTTATTTTGTTGACATCACCAGATGGTATTAAACTCAAGATGAAGCTACAGGAGGAGCTACTTGTATATAAACAGGAATTTATTAAATTCAAGAAACAGAAGTTTGAACATGTACGCCAAGACTATCAGGACCATCGCGTCTATAGATGGCTTACAGGTGATGGGAGACGTAGACCTATGCGCCAGCGTAAGAGAATAACACGACCCCAAATACCAACTATCGATGTTACATCGGGGGAATCGGCATCTGAAAGTGAGACGCAAAAGGAGTCTACTCCTTTTTTAGAAGGTTCAGACATTGGAACAACTACGAGGAGCCGAGGAGGAGTAGGAGGAGAACGAGGAGGGGTCATAAGGGGAAGATCCACGACTCGGGAGAAACCACCGTTACGAAGATAACCCCAATCTTCAATTTGTCAAAGAGACCCCTGGACCCCCAAGAAGTCAAGATCCTAAGCCGTGGCTTATCCTTTGTACCCACTCCTAAACCGAACCAATTTAAGTGGAATACAGAACTTTTTAGGTTTGGGAGACAGATGCGCCTCAGAGAATTTTTTCATAATCCTGAAAGACCCATGTCTATGTCCCAAAAGCAAGAAAAGTCAGCACAGTTTAGGACTAAATCTCTGTTTGATCCACATACTAATAAGGCCTCAATTAAAACCTATTTATCCACGGTGAATCATCTTGCAAAGGAAGCGATTGGAGCCTATAGATGCCAACACAAAAACATTTCCACTCAACAAATTAAATGTATTGACAATCTAGCCAATGATCCATCAATTATCATTCGACCAGCCGATAAGGGTGGAGGGATTGTCATTATGGACTATGCATACTATGCAGGAGAACTTAAACAGCAACTACAGAATAATACGGTATACCTACCTCTGCGGGGTGACCCCACGGACACAATAAAGAAGAAAATTGAGGCTATTGTGACAATAGGTGTTGAATCGGGATTTATAGACGAACAACTCAGTAAATTTCTTTTGAAGCAATATCCACGTACACCTATCATATATACTCTCCCAAAGATCCATAAAGACCCTGTTAGGCCTCCTGGAAGACCAATAGTTTCGGCAATTGAGGGATTGTTGGAACCTATTGCAAGATGGCTGGATTCTTTGTTCCAAGCCCCTATAGCCGCACTAGAGACGTATTTAAAAGATACACCTAGCTTAATTACAAAATGGAAACAATTAAACCTGAGAAAGGGCACCACAGTATTGATCACTATGGATGTAGGCAGCCTCTATACTGTAATTCCACACAACCAAGGCGTAGAGGCTATGAGAACAGTCCTCACGACATCTCCTCTATACAAAGGACCACCTATAGAGTTTGTATTAGAACTTCTCTCCTTCATGCTTAACAATAATTATTTTAGGTTTGAGGAGCAGTGGTATCTTCAGACCTCAGGCACGTCCATAGGGGCGGCTATGGCCCCCATGTACGCCAATGCCTTTATGTACATATACGAACGGCAACAGATTTTATCGAAATTTGGGCAATACATTCAAGGCTATTTTCGATACATCGATGATGTATTGATCCCGTGGAGTGGCAGTGTTATGGAAGCTAAGGAAATGGTACAATTCCTCAATCAAGTGGAGAGCCCTATCAGGTTCACGGCAAATATCAGTCTGGCCTCCGTCCAATTTTTGGATTTGGAGATAGCCATTAACGAAGAGGGACTGGCCTACCGCCTCTATCATAAACCCACGGACCGTAATACCCTCTTACACAATACAAGTGCACATCCCAAGGCACTGAAGAGATCTCTACCTAAGGCTCAATTTCTGAGAGTTATACGTAATAACTCAGATGAGAATATAATGGAGAGACAATTGGAAGAGATGATGGTAAAATTTCTGGAACGTGGTTACAAACGAGATGATCTAGTCAGGGCAAAATTGGAGGCAAAGTCTGCCTGTTCAACTAAAGTTAAAAGTGAATCCCAAAAGCTAGTTTTTCCTGTAACTTTTCATGATGCATCCCCAATGATATCTAAAATTGTTAAGGACAATTGGAATATGCTGGCAAGTGACGATACCCTCCCTAAGGTGTTCAAAGAATCCCCACTTATGTGCTATCGTAGAAATAAGAATTTAAGGGACCTGTTGGTCCATACGGACCCGACAAGAAGCTACGAAGTAAAGAACATCGAAGTACAAAATAGGGGCAGCATTCGCTGCTTGGGTTGTGTCACCTGTGGCCACATGACACCGTCTCGCACCTTTCAACATCCACATAAGAAAAAGGTTTTTCAGATACGACATACCATCACTTGCAAGACCCCATATGTGGTGTACAAGCTGTCCTGTCCTTGTGGACTCTCATACATTGGTAAGACTGAGACACCCCTGTGTGAAAGAATTAGGGGACACAGATCGAGCATAAGGGTGGCATATCGTGATGGGACATCTGATCAACCGGTGGCAAAACATTTTCTTGCCTTTCAACACCCACTTTCAGCTCTTAAATTTCTAGCAATTGACCATATACCACCGCTGAAACGTGGGGGGGATAGAGGAAAACTCCTTTTGAACAGAGAGACATTCTGGATTTATACCCTGGACACCATAGCCCCTAGAGGACTGAATGAAATGATTTCGTATCATTCATTTATATAAGTGACTTGTAACAATTTCAACAAATAATTTAATTAATTTATTTATTATCTTCTTCATCATCATTGTTTTTAATATTGTTTATTGTTATGTGATTTTAATATTGTCGGGGACATTAATAATTTTTTTACTTACCCACAGGCCTCCTTCTCGACAGCCTTAACCCTTGTTACCCAATTTGTGTAATTTTAAATAATACTGTGCACTTTATCTCCACTGCTGTTCTTGCATCTACATTGGCACTTTGCTTCAATTTCGGAAGCCTTATTTCTTGCACTTTATTAGTACATTGGCAAGCAACTGGCACTTGAAATTTATACTTTAATGCAATGTTCACATTTCTGGATCACTTTGTTTTCTCTATCTGCATGTTTTGCACATATCACTTTTAACACTGTCAGTTCCGTTTAGGGTCTGACTCTATATTCTAATTTCAGATGTGTTGATTCATATAGCATATATGACACATAGATTCATGATTTTTTATTAATGATATTTGATCTTTTGATCAGTTGGATAAATTGATAATGGAGATTTTTTTCCTTTTGATTAATTAGTTGCTCGATCTAATAATACTTTGTTCATTCCTATACACATTAATAAAGTTTTCACTATGCGTTTACCGTTTCTATGTTGCCAGGGTGACCGGACTAGTGAGTGTATCCAGCTCCCATGGCAACGGACGGTACGTGATCACGTGGTGGGGTACGTACGCACATGCGCACTCGGTGTCTGGGACGCGGGCGATAGTTGATGATAGGTGTACAGCTGGGGTAAGTTTATTCTCTAATGATTCTTTCCAATTATTTGCCCGGTATTTAAATGATTTATTGATATGTATGTGGTTAGTATTCCTGATGAAAGTCCCGGAGGAGGACTGAAACGTCGAGCTGCTACATTTTTAAAGATGTTCAAATAAATTTTTGGATTTTAACTGCTATTTAAAACCGTGAGTGCTGGCCATTTTCTGCTTGTTTATATATATATATATATATATATATATATATATATATATAAATAGGTTATGGTGGGGAAAAATTGTGATTGAAAACCCCTTCCACCTGAAGTATGTGGATAGTTAATACAATGCTAAACAAAAATCTGCACACCAGTCAAGCCATAAGACTTGCTTTTCCCACAGAAATCCCAAATCAGCAGTGATGTTACAACCGCAAAGGATTCTGGGTGGGCATATGCAAATTAGTTTAACAAAGAATCACATTTTTGCCTCATTCCATTTTAAACATGGATTCCTTTTAATTTGTGTTTGCAATATACAACTGCTTGGAACACAATTTAGGATAAGATGCAAAACCAGTGAACCACTCATGGACAGCTGTTTCGTTGTTAATGCAACTCTTCAGCATGAGGTTGGTTACTGGTTTGCTAATTGAGGCTTGGTAGTGCTTGGGAAGCAAAATCTAAATAGGTTATGGTGGGGAAAAATTGTGATTGAAAACCCCTTCCACCTGAAGTATGTGGATAGTTAATACAATGCTAAACAAAAATCTGCACACCAGTCAAGCCATAAGACTTGCTTTTCCCACAGAAATCCCAAATCAGCAGTGATGTTACAACCGCAAAGGATTCTGGGTGGGCATATGCAAATTAGTTTAACAAAGAATCACATTTTTGCCTCATTCCATTTTAAACATGGATTCCTTTTAATTTGTGTTTGCAGTATACAACTGCTTGGAACACAATTTAGGATAAGATGCAAAACCAGTGAACCACTCATGGACAGCTGTTTCGTTGTTAATGCAACTCTTCAGCATGAGGTTGGTTACTGGTTTGCTAATTGAGGCTTGGTAGTGCTTGGGAAGCAAAATCTAAGCAAGTCTTATGGCTTGACTGGTGTGCAGATTTTTGTTTAGCATTGTATTAACTATATATATATATATATATATATATATATATATTCCACAGACAATAACACAGGGCCGGCCTTAGGTGCCCTGTGCGAAAAGTCTTCATGGTGAAACCCGCTCTTCCTCCCCAAGTTGCCTGTATACAATCACACAAACCGTTACAGGCAGACAGTCAAACACACTTTTTATTAATTTTTTTTTTTTTTTTTATAGATCCGGGTGGAGAATAACGAAACCCTCCATCCAGGTACCTGCTCTGGCTCCCCTGCACTCCTGTCACCCTGCCATGTGCGAGCTGTCGGCCACATGGCGCCCTGTGCGGCCTCACAGCTCGCACACCCCTAAGGCCAGATCTGTCTGTCACATGATGACGTGATCTGTGGTTGCTAGGAAACCGATAAACATGCATATTAAGCTATTGGTCAGTGCATCGCTGAGAGTGACTAAAAATCAAGTGATTTGATATAATACATTACTGTGCTGTATATCAGATCATAGCCAAGCCTGGTTAAATGCTCAGTAGAAAAGTGAAATGGTATGTAGAAAATATGTGAACATGCCACAAACTGTAAATGTACAAACTAGGTGAATAATAGTGATAAAAAGGTGAGAATCATACCAGTGTATGGCCATAACACAGAATAATGTGTTATATAGGCATACAATTAAAAACACTTTGAATGTCATGGAAAGACTATACAAACAAGCATATAACCAGTATATTCTGCAGCCAGGGCCTGACCCTGCTCAAGGGCTTTAAAACCCTGAATCAAGACATGAATACAAGACCTGAATCAAGTATTTGCTATGATTAAAGATTAGATCTATGTATGTGCACAAGGACGTTCTTAAATCATTGTGCTAAATTGTTGCCACCCATGTATCAAATTATGGTATCAGAAGGCACGGTATATAGAAAACATGTGTCAGCAGTAAAATGGAGATTCCCCATTTAAATTTACTAAAGTATGTCCTTAGTAAAACCATCATGATAGATATGAGATAGGAGGCAAATAAATAATTATCAATCGGAAGAGGACAATATCCCAACAATAAGTTATTAGGAAGTGCTAAAACGATGATTGATTAACCCAATGAAATATTTGTGCTAAGCGAGAACATAATCCCCAGCCCAACAAAAAATGTTCACAGGTACACTGAAAACACTAGGTTTTCATTAAGTCCTCTAGGTGCTACAGTGTCCAGACGATGTATCCAATGTGCTTCACGTTGTTATAGCATTTTAGACCTATCGCCTCCTCTGGGTAAGGGGCGATATGATCAACGGCTGTGAAACGTAGAATGGGTAATCTATGTTCCATGGTGAGAAAATGTTTGGCAACTGGTTTATTGCTTTGTTGATCACAGAACACAGTGGTGATGGTGGATCGGTGTCTGTGTATTCGATCCCTCAATGTGAGATTGGTTTTACCAACATATGACAGTCCTCAGGGACATGTGATCATGTATATTACATGGTCAGTGGTACAGGTAATGTAGTGGGATATGTTGATTCTCTGACCACTATGGGGATGAACAAAAGGCACATCACTGACCATGTCAGGCTGCAGGTCACACATCCACTACATCTGAAACATCCCTTCTTCGAGATTGTCATGGATTTGCGATAACATTGTAAAGGATCATTTCTCACTAGCATGTCCTTCAAATTTCTATTCCTTTTGTAACTCAATACAGGTAAACGTTGGAATGTTTTCGGTAACAGTTTGTCTGAACGTAAAAGTCTCCAATGTTTATTAATTGATTCTCTGACTTTGGATGTGCCTGTGTGAAAGGTTATTGGCAGGTAAATCTTTGGTTCCAAGGGTTCCTTCTTGGTTCTCTCACTGGTTCTTTCGAAGTTCCAAATCTCAACGGCTCTCTTTTGTGCCATTTCCAATGTACAGAATTGGTAAACTCTGGCTCTAAAACTGTTCCACATCTCTTAGTTGAGTGTCATGGTTGTCTGTTTCACTGTTATACCTATATACTCTCAAAAATTGAGATATAGGTACAGATTTTTAAAACACTTGAAGCCATTAGTAAGGTATTTCGGTCAGTATTTTTCAGGTATAGGATAAACTCCAATCTCCCTTGTTTTTTGTAGATGGTGACATCCAAAAATTGTCTTGCCTGTCGGTCGTGGTTCATGCTCAGTCACTGGTGATGGGGATTGGTTGATGTCCCTTACCATTTGCTCTAAATTCTCGGAGGTACCTGTCCAAATTAGAAATATATCGTCCACAAAACGATGGTAATGTCTGATATCTTTACCAAACCTTTTATCTGTGTACGTTCAAAGATGTACATGAAAGCATTAGTATATGATGGTGCTACAGCTGCTCCCATTGAGGAAGACCCGAACGGGTCAAAACGTCGATCGTACACATGGAAACCTTTATATGGATTAAATATGAATAAATATAATTTCACTTATTGAAGACCGCAGAGTGCATCTATTTTTTCAGCACTATATATTTCCAATGTGGGATTGCACCAGGGCAATAATTTTTATTATTTTGTATGGATAGAAAGGGTGAGTGCCAAGTCTTCTATGTGTGTATGTGTATGTTTGTGTAAATCTAAGGTTCTTTTAGTGTAACCCATTGATCATTGGATAATTTATGCTGTAATTATTAACTTTATAAGTGAGGCAACAATCTGTGAAACTAATGTATTATTGTACTTGTAAATTTAACGCATTTGTTGAAATACCTTATTAGTAGATATTTCAACAAAATGACCTAAACAAAGTGGACAGAATTAAACAAATGGATAAATACTCATTTAGCAAAAAGGAATGTACTGTTCATTACTGAGAACAAAGGTCAGAGGGTACGCTTTTATAGTAAGAGATTGCTAATGGCTGAATAACCCAGTACTGAGGGTTCCAAGTAAATAAGGACTGATCTGGAATTTTTGAATGAACTTTGCGGTGATTTAATAATGTAGAAAATGTTTTTATGTTTTTGACATTTAATGTGAGTGTATTGAAAAGAGTTTATCAGGGAATATTGAATGATTTGGGATTATCAAATCATGATTTAACTTTAGAAACAGTTCTTTTGGAAACTGTCATCATCTGGATATTTCCAGATTGAGTATTGATTTAGGTTGTTGTTTCACTTGCTCAAGGAAGTATTTCAGTTGCACATCTTGTCCAATTAAGCATAGAGTGAATGCTTCTCTCATCAGTGTAAGTGTTCCAAGAGGAGAAATTATGTAAACTTTTTGTAATAGACAAATAACCTGAAATACAAACAAAGATGAAAGGTTCATGATATACCATTTAAAGGTTTTACTTTGATTTTTGATTTTTGGCATAAGTAATTATTTAATTATGATAAATATATCCTTTAGTAATTGTCGTGTATTGTTGCTTGTGTTTGCTTCTTGTAGAAACCATTCTGGAGTTTTTGTGCCATCATATCCTTGGAAACTGCTTACCAATCTCCTCTGGCTAAACTCTATAGACTATTTTTTTAATGGTGTCTGTTCGGCCACAACCCATGCAGGCCGAAGAAACGGAGTAGCTTACCTATGAAGACCTAAACTGTGTACACAAGTACTTGGAAATTCCTGAAAGTAAACTGTTGTCTAAAGCCGCAAACTCATGGAATAACCTTCTGGACAATTGAGTGTTGTGATTAAAATCCAGCAACAAAAGGTGCTAATGACTATGTAAAACGTGACATTATTCATCTTTCTACTATCAGACACTTTATGGAACATCACCTATGGCATGCAAACTGATTTTATTTTTTATTTTTTTAAGTTT